AAAAATTCGTTGACCTTTGGAGACATCATTAATATAAATAATTTTTATGGCCGTTGAATAAGAAATGTTTCTTTCACAAGAAATGTATAAAATCAGTGCTGTATTAGACTTACGGTACCTAATTTACATACTGTACAGACGATAGTAAACTCAACTTACTCGCCTAAACTCTCCATAGCATGGCGCTGGACAGCAGAAAGTATATACAGTAATAAAGTTACAATAAATTAAGTTAGTATATAATTATATGTACAGTACCTAATTTATATATAATACTGTACAGACGATAGCAAACTCAATTTACCCGCTTAAACTTTCCGTAGCGTGGCGCTGGACGGCGGAAAGTAGTTCGGCTGCTCATCCACTATTGGTCCAGATTCGACCAATCTTGTTGCGACACAAGTCGGTGACGACATTTTACGAGTCCCTTTATACGAATACTGCTGCAATTTTTTTGCTACATTATAGGAATTTCTGTTATAGGAACCCACATTATAGGGGGTCGACTGTACAATAAGTAGTCTGTATAGACTTGAGATGACAACCTTCAGATATAACTCATAAAGTGAACTATTGACTAATGAATGATTATTTGTTTAATGCATTTTATAATTAATGAATATAATTAATTTTTAGCTTTTATACATTTATGTATATTATGAAATATAACTTATACAATTAAGTTACAAACAACTATTATTTATTTTTCAGACTTCAACCAGCCCATCTGCCCATGCTTCTGGAAGTGAAAGAATGGATAATCAGACCCCTGCTCAGAGACAAGCAGCTGCGAAATTAGCTTTACGTAAACAACTAGAGAAAACTTTATTGCAGATTCCACCTCCTAAACCACCTCCACCAGAAATGCATTTTATCCCTAATGCTAATAATCAGGAATTTATATGTTTGTTAGGATTGGAAAAAGTTGTTGACTCTATTACTGATGGTATTCAGGATGGTCGAGCACCACCTGAACCATTTGAATGTGTACAGTGTGGTACTGATTTCACTCCTGTTTGGAAATGGCAAGAATCTAGAGGTAAACAACCATCTGTCATTTGTGAAATTTGTGTTACATCAAATATCAAGAAGGCGCTAAAAGCTGAGCACACAAATCGGCTCAAAACAGCATTTGTAAAAGCATTGCAACAAGAACAAGAAATAGAACAACGCATGTCACAGGCAGCTGTAAGTCCTCCTCCTCCTTCTACTACTCCTCATAATCGCAGCTCTACTCCTACTTCCATAGTAGTTTCATCCTCAGGGCAGCAGTCTGTATCCAACTTTACATCGTCACATAGTCCAGTTCATGGATCATTATCTAGAATTAGTAGCAGTGCTGTGGCAAATTCATCAGCTCTTCTTCAACACATGCCAAAACTTTCTGTGGCTCATCAGTCCTTACTTCAAGCTCAGGCTCAACAGTTGCAACAACTAGCACATCAGCCTCAACCAGCTCACATGATTCCATTTGCTCCTATGTTAGCAGCCCAAGCTTATTCCTATCAAATGCTTGGGAAATCTCCTATCACTTCAGCTGATATCCAAAGACAATATTTGTTGGACATGATTCCTCCATGTTCTTTACCTCAAGGTACACTAAACTGGAAAACATGATTCTTCTATTTCTTTAGTGTCTTCAAATATCTGAGAGACCGCTGCCATTTCCTAAATCCAAAGTCATTTATTTACAGCGAGAGAATCTCAGAGTACAATGGTGGATCTGATACCTCAAACTATTGTGTGTAATATTTTATCATGAGATTTTTTTGTAAACTTTCATGGCTCAAATGATTTTTACACAACAGATCTGCAAATCATTATTCATTTCTCAGCTAGTATAAGGAATATGGCATTTTTGTCACAGCACACTCCAAGTGTGTAACACTTTGTTTCTTCTCAAAGTAATATATGGAGATTATCTTTTGGAATCTGCAAATTTTGTCTTAATGTAGTAGACTATATTTTCATAAAACAAGTTTCACACTCACAACAATTTTGTGAAGTGGGTATATCTTACCAGCAAAGTTGCCTACTTAGATTTTGCATTAAGTAGATTGCAGAAATGTAATGTAGGCAGTCACAACTTTCAGATTGTTAAATTAAGAAATATTAAGAAACAAGAAACTTTATAAAGACAGAATTGTGCAATAGTTTCTTGATACATTATTTTCAGTTATTATGCAAATACAACACCAATTTTTTTTAACTGAAAACATTTTAGTAATACTCAAATCAATATGATGCAAGGGAAAATAAATATATTTTACACCATGTTAAAAAGTGCAATAATGTACAAGGAAAGTGAAAGCGAGATGCACTTACTATAAATGTGTTAAACTGGTATTGTTTCTCAATTTGCTATCTGCAGCAGGGATTTATCTTTAACCTAATAATCAGGCATATGATTCCTCTATCTGCTTCACGGCTTTGTTAAATAACAATATTTGTCTTTGGTCCACATAAACAAAAATGTGCTTGTTTGGGTAGGGGTATTTGGATTCATCCCATCTCTAATGTTGCGACTAGTACTGTATCTACATATTCTGTAATCATTGTATTTTATTGAATTTGAGGAAAAAATTTTTTGTTTGACCAGCACATACATGTGTGCTGATTAATGTGTTGTATAATAGCATGACATTCATATTAATTTATATAATAAATGCATCTTTCTCTTCAAGTTTTTATTACTTTACTTTATTGATAACATACACTGACTTTTGTTCAAGATATAAAAAATTTTTGTTTTTAATATATATTGATCAATGTTTAAGATTTCTATAAATAAACTTTAAAAATTAAGAATCTGTGTTACTATTTCCACTAACAGTTACACTAGACTTTGGCACTATTCTTAATACTTCTGTTTCAAACTCATTTTCAAACCATGCTGTTATATGTAAATTGTCAACAGTGAAATAATATAATCTGTCTGAACACTTTTTTCTTCGATAGCTTGATCGAGGATCTGCTTTCAATAACTGTCTAATCGCTTCTTTAATCTGTTCTGGGTCTTGTAAAAATTCTAAGCAAAACTCACAGTCTGAACTATGAGTGTAGATTTTCTTGTGAAAATGTTTTAATGCATTTTCAGCTCTTAAAGAAAAACTAACATTCAGTTCATTAATTGGAGGAGATGCTATCCAAGATGCAATATTAACTGAATTGATTTTGGAGTCATTTTCATCAGAAATTTGCAAAGTGGCTTCATCTAAAGAAACTTTATGATCAGAAAAACAATCTGCTAAAACTGTCTCATCACAAACTGACAAATTATTTTCTTTTATATCAAATTTATGTGGGAAATCATAATTAGGTATATAGGGTTTAATATCCACAACTGGAGTACCATTTATCAGATCAACACCCATTAAATGTAATGTGTCATCTGTTAAAAAAATGAAGAAAATTTAATTATGCTATATTTTAAAAATATTTTAAAAAATTAAAATTACCAACTTTCAATTTTTTCTAGACAAGTTAATGTTAATCCCAATGCATTTGGTCTGTGTGGAGAGCGGGTAGAAAATAATCCAACTGATTTTCCATTAAGTCGTGGTGGCTTTATTTTCGCTTTAGAAAACCTTGCAACAGAATCCTTTCTGTTTTTATGGAAGATAAACAAGATCCTATATAAAAAATGCATTTATATGTCAACATCTGAGGGAAATATATATACTGTATATATATTCAAATATAGCCATACCCCATTATCTGAATCTAATTGTTGTTGAAAAAATTCAATATTGGGACATTTGGATTACAGGAAGTATTTTATTGAGTAACTTTCTATCTCATGCTTTTAATAACATAATTTTCAAACTTTTTGTAAATGCAATTTAAAGGAAATTTATATTTGAATTGAATATCCTAGTATTGAGAATGGTATGGATATTAAAGAATATTGGTTATAGTGGAAATTCAGATATGAAGGTATGACTATGTAATTATAACAGTCTCACCATATATGAGAATATTCTTCTAGACCCATCAGTGAATGTTCTGGATTAGTAAATGCTGATTTGAGAATCTTTAATCTCGCTTTACTTTGTGGACATACTATGGGTTGATAAGGTGTTCCATTTTTTGTTTTGAAACAGGATTCTATATAGCCAATTGGTTGTAATGTATATTGAGTATTTTCTGTAAAAAATATATATATATATATATAAAATAATAATGTTCTACAAATAACATACATTGATACAAAAAAATGTGCTGTAGAAACATTCTGACATGTGAAATAATCATCGTTCAATTCTGAATCCTGTAAATTCAAAAATCAGTTAACTCTTTCCAGTATTGACTACTTACATGTATACTCAAAATGCTCACGTTAAGGAATGATGATTGTTTTCAGTGAGTCATTTATGAAATTAATGTTTGGTCCCACTAATATATATAGTAAAAATAGAATAAATAGTAAAAAGATGATTTAATTTTAAGAGATTGCATATAAGTAGTTTCCTATGTAAGTTTTAAAAATTTGAATGTTAGATATTGGTTACAATTCTTAATTATAAAATCAAAGTATCTCTGCCTCAATCTTCAAATAATGTTAGTTTGATGATATTTCTAACATATAAAAACAAAAATACTTTATGGGAACATGATAAAAGTCAATTTATTGTTTTAACTTTCATTGCCACATTGTTGAATACTGAATTTTCCTTCAAAACAATTACATATGAAAGGTGGTCATAAAATATTTAATATATTATTATTTGTACTTAACTAAATGATTTATAATGAGAACATTTTTTACTGCCTTATTCTGTTATTAAATAATGGATTTAACAAGAATTCCATGCCTAATCATGCAACAAAACAACAAAATTAATTATACTGCCTATAAAATTATTGATTATTTACTAAGTGGTGTTAATTAGTAAACACATTAAAATAAAATTTTACTAGAGATACAGTCGACTCCCCTATAACACTGTTGATTATTCCGTTTTATATGAATTCCATGTTGTACGAGTCACTTAGATTTTACAAATATGTGAGCCGTTTATAGCTTGGCACACGAATTTGTAAAATCTAAGTGACTCATACAACACGAAATTCATATAAAACGGTGTAATCAACAGTGTTATAGGGGGGTCGACTGTATTAATTTTTGAATATATGTTGAAAAAATTTTATGTGAAAAGTAAATGGGGAGTTCTATGCACGGAAAGCTAGAACTTCTATACATAAGTAATATAAAACCTTTGACACTTTTCTAGCAATTTTCTTTAATCAAACTAACGTTTTCAACTATCATTTTATCTCTACCTGCATTACTATAATCAATTAATAAACTCCAAATACCTTTAAAATGCAGTCTATTTTAAAACTTCTCGAACGTTTTTGGACAGATTAACAGACCTTCTTCAGGATCGAACTAATGGAATTTAAATTTGCCAAACAGAAATTCCAAAACATTCTATAATCTTCTCAAGATTATAGAACATTTTGAAGTTCGAGAAGTTTTAAAATAGACTGCATTTTAAAGGTATTTGGAGTTTATTAATAGTTTTCGACTATATTTAATGGCCTTCCTCAAGTTCGACAATATTTGGAACATCAGATATTCAAAGGTTTTATATTACTTATGTAAATGGGGAGATTTTATAAATTACATTTAATGTATTTTAAATTTATATAATAAATTCATGAGAAATAAATTATAATTTTGTAAGTTATGGTGATTGGATAAGAGACAGCTAAGACTTGTGTCTGTTGCTGCAAGATATGTAAGTTCAACTTTGAGTCAGATCACCAAAGTTTGGTGTCCCATCTCTTATTATTAAGCTGTTCCATTATAAGTTAGCTAAATTCCATGATGGAGATGAGTGAAAAACCTATTGCATCTAAAGGGCAGAAGAGATAATATGGGTATAGATAAGTTTCTCACAATTTCTAAAGTAATGAAAGAATAAAAAACAAATATTTTCAATAAAATAAAATGTATTGAATGAAAGAGGGGGGAACTCCATTCCATAAACATGATTTAAATATTAATACTGTACAGAATAGAATTGCTAATAAACTCACAATGAAATTTTAAACAAAATAATTACAAGCATATAAATGGATCGAGAAACATAATGATAAAGTGATAATTTATTATATTGTTTACATTTAATAAAACTTTGACTTACTAAATACTGTTTTTATATCATCATGCTAGATGCTTTCTTCACAACACAAGAAATATCCAGTCAATTTTATAATTTTACTAAATTTGAAAAAATGAAAAATTTACTCTAAATAGATAGATCAAATGTATTCTTGTATATGTAAATATATTCAACTATTAATCATAAGTTTGTCTTGCATATTTATAACTTCTGATTTCCTTTGTGTAATAATGTTAGTTTGGCTGTGGTTGTAGATTGGAGAAGTGCTTAGCAGGATTAGGGGCGAGTTTCTTTGGTAGCTGTGCATAATAGCCATTGCGTCCAATTGTTTTAATTCTTTGTTTCACAATGGGATGACACCTTAAAAGTGTAAATGCTCTTTGTAAGCACCATAAAAGCTGATACTTTGTAGTACATTGGATCAGAAGAGCCTGCTGGAATAGAGTGGTATGTGAGTTGGTTTATAAAGACATTCATTTAGCTTTCAACTCAATAAATGAATACAATGTCTAAGAAATGTCCTCTGGATTTGCTCAATTGACTCAGCTCAATGGATAGCCTGTAGGGGTTATAAGTTTTAAAAAAGGCATCCATATCTGGTTGACTCTTCCATATAATCAGCAAATCTTCAACAATCTTTTGTAAATTATGATGATAAGTTGGATTATCGGCACGATTTTTGCTTCCAAACTGCACACCACCATCTTGCATAGGTCCCTTGAGAGGGAGCTGCACATAACATGCAATTTAGCTACAACATATATTTATAAAAAGGGACATATCCCCATGGGTACATCCCATTTTTATAAATATACATTATTGCTAAATTGAAAGTAGCATAAAATGTGGGTGAGTTCCAAGACTTGGTGGTGTGTGTAGGTTCATCAATTTATTGTAATAAGACATCTCTGAAAGTGCAAAAACATCATTGCAGCTTTACCGATGTGTACAATGAAACAAAATCGAGTATTGTAACAAATGTGTTGTCTGTGACATTGACAACTTGCAAAATTTTAACCATTTCATTAGCGTTCTTAACTGTGTAAGTGTAGTTTTCTTAACAACCTAGATACAAGATTGTGTATGGTATTCTTTAATAATCTTTTAGGGAAATATTATTAATTATTATAAAAAGGCAAAAGGCTTAACTTTTAGGATAGAGATGAGTTTCTAAAAAAATGTGCCAATAGCAAGTAAAATTTTCATTAAGTCTGACCCCATTGGAATCTGACACATCCCTTCTATTTCCTTACCTCCTCCACCTTGCTCACCAATGCTCCATATGTAGAAATAACTCTGCCAAGTTTCAAAGTTTTAGCTTCATCCAGTTCTGAGATATAATGCAGAATTGATGCTAACACACAATTTGGTAAAAGGTTTATTTATTTACATATATGGGGTCCTCAAGTTTCAAAATGTCAAGAAATGCAGAAACAGGATCAAAATTTGAATGATTACCATACTTTCCCAATGTTATATTCTATAATAGCTGGGAAAGTAAAACATGTTTGATTCAAAATTATACACATCATTAATAGCCAAAGAGTGCAACTGTGCTAACATTTACACAAGATACCAATTAATTGAAAATTTGTTGCAATGAACATCTTGAAGAATAGTTGGATCTTCTTCAAATCTGATAAATTCACGAGGCTACTGGCAATTGACAAAATTTTCCTTAATTAACTTTTACTTGTAATTCACAGCAAAATTTCTATTTACAAACTATAACTTAGAATTCTGTTTATGTTTAATACAATAGTTCTAACAATTGTCTTGGAAATGAAGAGATGATTTGAACAGACAAATCAACTCTTCATTTTTCCTTCCTAGTTTACATCTTGCCTTTTTTGCTTTCTCATGTTTTCAAGAATTTCTTTTTCCAAATACATTTGTTATTAATTTTAGCTTGCCAGCTGTTAACATTTAAGTTGGATAAAATGAAATGTACTATACTAATAAATTTAGATAGTTTTAGTACATCTTGTCATTCATAATTGTAGTGAGTTAAATTTATACGTGAAGAACACAGCTTTAGTTTAAATGCCAAAATTTTATTCAAATTATGTGAAATTTAAAAGACATGTAATGTAGAATGCAATCATTGCATAATTTAAAACCTCCTTGTATTTATAAACAGCATAGAGAAAAAATGTGACATCATACCTGAAACTAATATATTGTAGCACAATCATAATAGGATGTAAGGTTGTAACACATAGATTACTTACAAAGAAATAATCAAATAACATAATACAGTATAGCAGAGTTCTAATTATCCAAGATAATGTGGCCAAGGGTATAGTCAAAAAAAGATGATAATGTTTGGTACAGCGTGATTAATACAAGAACATTGTTACAAAATCAAAGTTTTATGAAAAAGAAATTTAATTGTAATTAAAATCTTTCTGGAAATCACCAGAGTAAATTTTAAAGTCCCTTTCAAATAGTATGCATCATCCACCAAAATTCAGGAAACAAATTATACCATATTTTGTCAGTGAAGATGAGAGAACATCTCTTCCACAAATCATTCGAGATAATGTTGAACTTTGGCTAAACAGGCCTTTACAAAATTATCTCACAAATGCAAATTATTACACAGATAGAAATCATACAACAAATATATATCACAAACAAAGTTATGATTACAGATAATTCATCACAATAGATCAGATATAATTTGTTTTTTAATAATAATAATATTATAGATTGAGAATATGGGCGAGAGGTATTGCCCTCTATCATTGGATTGCAAGAATCCACTCACTCTGTCAGTGGATGGCTTCAAATACTCAAATTCTTGGTGGGATATAGGAAGTCGTAGGTCCTTCCTGTTAATTTGATGTGACCCCTGCCTAAAGAATGTGTTAGGCCTGTGAGAATAATTACAAGGGTCTGAGCGGAAGGGCCTGTGGACTCTCGATGAGATGTCAGCAATTATATGGAGACAAAGAGGCGGCCATTACATAAATTCAAATCAAAGTTTAATAATAAAAAAATAAAACAAAGGAA